GTCTGATGAGGCATGGCATCCCACTCTTCTTGAACGTCAGCCCTCGGGTCATTGAGGTTCTGGGGCGCAGAGTTTCAAGCCTCTACACTGTGAGTCAGCTGATCCAAGGGGGTTTCAATTTCAAAAGGATTCTGGTCTTGAGAAAGTGCAGGTTATTCCATTTGAAGTACAGCAGTCTCCAACAGCCGTTCCCTGATGATGCAACCTCAATGAGCTGGAGCAGTGTCGTCCATGAAGATGAAATTAGGCCCATGTTGTTCACGTAGGGGCACAGTGCCTGATGCATAGCGCTCTCCTTGACGTCTTCAACGTCATTGGTGGCCATCATTTCTGCTCAATGTGAATCGACCTTCACCAGAGAACAGCATTGAGGCCTACTGGTCCCTCGTCCAGCGTAAATGCTCTCTGGCCCATGCAAGACGATGAAGATAGAAGTGCCATCAGAATCACGAGTGAATTAAGTCAATACGTCCCTGACCGAGAACATCACAGAGACCAGTCGGCTGATCTATGCAGCAGTATCAGTTATCCTGGAGATGCTTGGCTATGAGACGAACAACCGGGAGGCGCATGGGCTATCTCCATGGAAGAGAAGACTGGAGTGTTGAAACATTTCACAGTTGGACATGTGCATTCATAAGATTGGAGAAGGACACATTAGGTTCACCTGTGAAGGTTTGAATGCATTTTAGGATCGTCCTGAAATGTCACTTGAAAATCAAATATCCCTCACTTTTTGTGGAGTATATGTGCATAAAATAATTAATTTTAATAATAAAATAAATAAGATTGCATTGCTAACTACAATTATTTTAACTACACTAAATTAATGATTTCAAAATGATTTTTTTTCACAATGTATAATCTACAATGACTCAATTGACCTAATCTTAATCATTAACAAATACATTTGAATTGACTGATTTTATGAGGAACAAAATGGCAAAATGAATGCAACAAGCATGACAGGACTCATGACCATGTAAATACTCAGACTAAAGAGTGAAAGGGACTCCATGTGGCCTGCAGGGCACACTTTGTCCATCCCTGGTATAGAATCTCATTGAGCGACTTTTTACTCACTGTTCATGCATCATTGAGCTGTGCACAAGTCTATCATTATACTCAGAAATGGTAGGCGGATGGCCTTCATACGCTAGCCGACTGTTTAAATATATTTTAATATGTGGTGATGATAAGCAGTGTGGCTAATGGATGGATGGATAGATGGATGTGGCTCCAAGAAGAAGATAGGTAGACCCCTCACAACCATTCTCTTGTTGAAATACCCCACACCACTCATTGCACGGTTACATTGGTGGAATGGTGGAAGAACACTAAATGTGTCCTTCCACTATAGCCTGCCAACGCTACATTATATTCTGTTTCTCTGTTGCAGTGTTAGCTCTCGGGCAGAATTTAAATGATGGAGGGAGCTCCAACTTTTCATCAGCGCAGCTGAGCAGGCCACATAAGGCCGCCAACTTCCTGACCAGATGTATGACAAAAATGCCATTTTAAATATGCATAGCGTCACTGATGCGGGCAGCGTAGAATCAGTTCCCACTCAGTGACGGTGTGAACGTGGGTGTGTATGGTCGTTTGTCTCTATAAGTGCCCTGTGACTGACTGGCGACCAGTTCGGGGGGTCGTCTGCCTTTCGCTGGGATAGGCTTCAGCAACCCCCGCGAACCTCTTCAGGATAAGCAGTGTTGAAAATGGATGGCTGGATACACGTGCATTTGTCAGTTTTTGTATTGCACCAAAGTACATCACATTATTTTAATATGCATCATGCTTAATGAATGAATAAAACGATCCAGCCATCCAGCAAAGGGTTTGAACAATATATCGATAGATTTTTTAAATTGATAAAAATATTGAAAAAATGTTAACAGGTGAATCCATGGGTGCCGAACTGTGAGTATTCAGAGGTCCACTCCAGTCGTGGAAACATGTTTATAATCCCCCCCCCTTCAAAAAATGATTAAATAAAAATAAATATAAATTTCCATTTTTGTTTTAATTAAGCAAGATGCCGCTCAGAGTGTGGGCTGCCAGTCGCCTATCCCTATTCTATAGTGAGCAGTTTGATTTATTTATGTATTCATTTTTTTTAAACTCCTGAGGATCATTAAAAAGGGGCCAGGCTGTCCGTCTTAAAGGACTATTAAATAGCAGAGGTCCAAATAAGTGTTTCTAAAACCTTTAATAGTGAACAGATGTTTGCACTATAGAAAGCACATGAATATTACTTACATCAACAAATTAAAGGGTGGTGCGTTGCCAAGAAGAGGAAGAAACCACAAAAAAAAAAAGATGACTATGAATGAAATAGTTTGAAATGACAACAATGTTTATCTCACCTACTGGATTTCTACCACTCTGCAGTCCATCAACTTAAACGCCGGACATACCTAAAGATTAAAACTCTTCAAGAATTTCAGAGCCAAACAATGCTTTCTGGAGGATCTGAATGAAGTGCGACTGAATGCGATGTACTATGAAAAGGAGGAAACAGATGTGGAAGCTGAAGATTAGAGTCCCATCAGGCCTGCTCACACAAAGCTCTCCTCTCAGGCTGGAGATTGACTGGTACCGCATGCAGACACTCTCGACTGCTCTCATAATTCACAAACAGAGTGCAAGAAGTGCTAAACAAAGGTTATTTCTAGATGATGAATTTATAGTTTCCATTCATGTTGCCTAGTGTGTGAGTTTAACGTTGGCCTATTAGACTTGCAAACAAATGAGAACGGCATTTCAATTTCCAGCTACTTAGTCAGTATGGGGACTTTCAAAGCGTAGCAATAAGTAAAACATTTAGCATGTTTTTGACTATGCAAAACAATCTTGTTTTACAGTCGATGCAAATAAAGCCTGGATTGGATTAGCCCAACTAATCCACAACTAAAAGCTTAATTTATCTCCAGTTTTTCCCCCTCCATACTTTTTGTTGTCATGCTGTGACATTACAAATAACTAAATCTGACCTAATGTGTTTTAATTTTAATCTTAGTGGTCAACAAAAGCTGTTAAAAGGCCAAAGGCAGTTAACAGCATGGACAACATACTGTAGATGGCTTCAGTACTCATCGGCCATTGCCCAAATGACACCTGGCAGTCCCCTGGCAACTGAAGGATAACTTTTGTGTAACCTAAGGGTAAAAAGAAAAAAAAATAACTGTCTATCTTCTCGTTTCTTTATTGCCCTTTAAGAATCATGCCTTTTATTCTATTTCGAAATTAAATAATGAACTGTGGCTTGTATTGTGAAGGTGAACTTTATTAAAGACAAGGATAGTCTGGGACCAACATAATGGACTCGTGTGTGTGTGTGTGTGTGTGTGTGTGTGTGTGTGTGTGTGTGTGTGTGTGTGTGTGTGTGTGTGTGTGTGTGTGTGTGTGTGTGGGTGCGTGCGTTTGACAATAGCGTGGCATGGCCTAGTTTGGATGTATACTGCTCCCCAGGGTGTGCCATTATGCTCAAATCAATCCTCTAGGCCTTTAACTGCGAAATGAAGGAGCAACAGAGTAAAGTCTTAATCCTCAACCTTGAACCATCTGCTGCGGCATGAACCTTGGTGAACACTTAAATGAGCTCCACAATTCTGATCCTGGTATAAAATGACCTGCTAAATTATTTTTGAAAACCAACAATCGTATTCCTTTATTTTCGATCCAAATAGAAATCGCAGCGCATTCGGCCCAAATGAGCTTGCAAATGAGGCTATTTGTCTATGCAAAGGCAGCACGCCACTTGGACTTTTAAAGCTGCAGTCCAAGCTACCTGCAAAAGCCACAAACAACAAACACCATATGTTTGCCTCGGTCTCAAGCGTTGACCTTAAGACTGCAAAAACAGCAGGGGTAAGGATCAAGTGTGTTCCGTTGTTCATGTATCCAACAAACAATACAGTAAACAGTTGTGGTTCAAGTACACAGACCACGACGCAAAGAAGCCATTATTCAAGAACACACTACAAGAGAAATATGAAGTTCAGTTAGATGGAATCCAAAGGGGAAATGCAGCTGCCAATCATTTTATGCACGTCCTGCGTAAGGGGGGAATTCCAATATGCCGTTTCACTTTTTATCACACATGTAAAGGGGAAAATTGGAGAACATTTACTTCAAGTTTTGCGTCTGGATGCCTTCAGTGGGTTCACTTGTTGAACAAATACATCGTAGCCAAAATACGACACACACACCTGCACCACACCGAGACATCCATTCATCCAGTCTCTTTTTTTGTATGTAGCGTGAATTAAGATCTCAGAAACACATATCAGTATAAATATATAAACATTCCAAATTCCCACAGTAAAGAAAAAAAGCTTTTTTAAACTCCAATAATGTCAAACCTAATTGTACATTATAATCTTCGTTAGCGGCCTGATTAAAGAGGATTGCAGATCGCGTGTGCGTGGGTCTCAATAGTGGGAGGGTTACAATTTCAAAACAATTTTGTCCAATATTGGTTAATACTGACTCAAAAAAACTGGAAGCCTAAACGACCAAAACTCTCAGCTCAAATGCAGTAAACCCGTTCATTATATCTAGCATAGGTTGTTGGTTTGCGGAGGTAGCCTAAATCGTGACTCTTCAAACACTGTCGGTGACTATGGTAACCATTCTAAATATCTGGATTTCACGCGATTGCCTGTTCAGCCAATCCAATTTCTATTCAAAACCAAATAAAGCTTTTTTTTTTCAATGGAACTGGAGTTGGTGAGACCTAACTGAAGCATGGACATTTATGTTTGATGGCTGCTCTCTTCAACTTGCAAGGCTTTGTAGCAACTTTGTTTTCCACATGCAGTAAAAAGTCTGAATGGGCACTGGAGGCTTTTGCAACTCAACCTCCAAAGTGCAATGCTATGCTCCACTGACAGAGACACTCCATTGAATTATTTCCGCCCCAGTGATTGAAATCCACTCGTGCAAAACGTCAAAAGACATATGCATACACGAGAGGAAAAATGCGACGTGCAACTTACGTGAAAACGAAAAATAAAGTCGTCGATCCCACAAGCAGAGTGGCAGCTGTGGACACCGGGATGTATTTGGTGGGTTTAAATCTCTTTCCAGCGCTGGTGGGCATTCTGTAATTTCCACATTCCTTAATTGTTTATCCCGGGTGCAATAGCATGTAGAGAAAAATTGATCCAGTGTCGACTTTGTGGTGCTATTATGGGTACAATCAGTCCAGTCTTTTGCTAGCGCTGAAGCTGCATAGGTCCTTGCAGTAAGGAACAGCACAGCGACTGAAAACCTGGAAATCCCACCCTTCCAATCCAGCCCACTGGTGAGGTCACTGGACCGCTAGAAAAGGTGGAGCCTACAAAGTGTCCTCGTGAACCAGGCGGCGCTGCAGCCTGAATTCCAGAAGAGAAACGGAGAAGACTTCAGTTTTATTCAGCTACGCCAAAACTCAATTCAGAAGGTAATCTCCTTTTGCAACGAACTGATGAGTTAGTTCATCATTTCCTCATCTTAAACAGGACATATTGAGAAGTAGAGGAAAGCAATGCTGTCGTTCCTTGCTTCGTCTACTTTGTCCATGTTTCGTTCGATTTTAATGGAAATGCTGAGGTGTTCCTAAATCTAAATCATTCTCAAAAGCTCGCTGTAGATTCCACCAGAAAGCAGAGCAATCAGAGCTACTGCCGTTCTGTAGATGGAGCGCCCCCAAGTGGCCGTTTTTGGATCTTTTACCACCGAAGAAAAAACAATCCCACCATGCCACATTTTGGTTGAAAGTACCGTAATTCGCATTTAAATAAAATTTCCAACTGTAAATTATCCTTCCACATTTCACAACGTCTTACATCAATTCAATCCGTTTGATTTTCAATTTTTTTTTGTTTTGTTTTTTGTTTTTTTGTTTTGTTAATGTGGGGCAGCTAGGGAATGCTTTCATGTTTCTAAAATGTCCATGGTTGTATTATTTCACATTTTCCATTATAAAATCAACAAATAAAGAGATAATTTCCGAATTGTCACACAATTCGGTCTTCAAATTGTTCACCTCATTCAGGACTTCTTGGGAACTATTCATGACTGACATTCCGACCCCCCCCCCTCCCACACACACAAAAAAAAAAGAAATCCTGAAGTTAAGTGATATATTACCTCCTTCTTCCAAATCTGATGACCGCTTCAAACCATATCAACTGCAAGATTCACACTTAAGATTTCAACAATTCAAATAATTACAGAAAATTTTGGTGCAGGTTTTCAACAGTGTCAATCAAATGTTGGTTGCAGGCCACACTGTGGTTATGTTTCCCCTCAGAGGGGCGTTATATATGTAGAATCACATCATAATATTACACATGCACATTGCACAACAATTTGATAGATAACCAGTTTTAAAATCCAAAATCAAAGAAAAGACTATATTTTAAAAAGGATTTGGGGGACCAAACATGCTTTATCTCAACGTCATTAAATGTGAAGAAATGTTGCAATATTGGTACAGATTTTAGCGAGAAACATGAAGTCCTTGATTTACTTTAGCGGGCCACGTAAAAATATGTGGTGGCAGGCTGTATTTGGTCCCGGGGCCTTGAGACCAAAAGTTTGTCTCACAGTTATCAAATTCTAGGCCCGGGCAAATAATGTGCATCGACTTAATGTTTTAACAACAATGAGATATGAGGTATCGTGAACAGTTTTTGTTCCCAATCTCTACTTTAAAATGAAGTGAAAAATGTTTGAACAAACATGTAGTGGAATCTGATTTCAAAAGTATATGTGATAATATGAAGCAAACATACATTTTTTTATGGTTCCACAGCCCCAAGGGCCCTCTGAGGGACATCATAACTACGATGAGGCCTGCGACAAAATATTGACAGCAGTACAATTTCTGCAGTAACAAGAGTCGAACTTCGTTACAACGTACCTGGAGGGACAGAACGAATCTGTGCGTGAAAATGGTAGTTCGTTGTAACCATTTTCAATCAAATGGCCGCCAACTACGATGTACTGTATAATACACTATGAACATTTATAGATGTAAAAACATGAAGTATAAACGTGTCAGTTACAAGTATGTGTATATAGTACTGTATGAAGAAAGATGATTTTATTGAACATGAAACAAACACCTGTAGCGTGCCTACTTCATCTCTGAAAACATTAAGTCAGCAAGTGAAAAGCGCCTTCTCCAGTTCAGGATGTTTTGCGGCCGAAGCCATTTACGGTTATCTTTCAAACTGTTGGCCTCGAAATCTGCCAGTCTCCCTTTCAAAAGTGAGAGACAATTTCTGTTTTCACAGATAGCCATATTTACCAGACATGTTTTCAGACAATGTGCACCGTGCCTCCGGAAATACACTTATGTACGAGTCATCAGTCGTGTTGCTATGCAACGGAGGGTAAATTCGCGCTGTAAATTTTGTTCATATGCAAGGTCCCGGCGGCAATTAACTTCCCACGGTTCGTTGTAACGAAGGCCTTTTCACTATTTTGTGGGGAAAATATCTGGTCGTTATAATGAAGTTTGCGTTATGAAGGCGTTCTTTGTAAGCAAAATAGGCAAATGTAAAATGAATTACGTGATTCGGGATTTTGAAATGTGACGGTTACAGGGATGGAACCCTTGGATGAGGTACGTTGAAAATAGGTTCGCCTGTGTACATAATTGGGTCGTAACATAAATTAAGTCTGACCTAAATCGGCTGCCGTACTACGTAAAAGCAACTTGCTCAAGATTAGTTACGCTATTTCCTGTGCCTGCTCTATTATTAGGTTCTGTAGCGCGGCTGTCGATTGGTGGTAATAACGCGTTGGGTGTCTCTTCGCCAAGCTAATATTAGCTGCTAACGTATTTGGACTATAAAACGTCTTTGTCCGAAGGGAACATTTCTTGCGGTGTTAGCGAGACACTAGCCCAATTGGGCTAATTTGCTAGCAATTGATAGCATCTCGTGAAGCTAACAGGATGTCTCAGAGGAGAACTCTCAAACTTATTTGTGGTCTCGCCGGAGGTTCTGCCGCCCTTTTACTGGCGGCTGCCACTGCCGACTCTCGTGGCTATTTCGGAGAGAGAAGAACCGAGGCAGGCAGTCGCTGGTCCAAACTGTCCGTGCTTCAAGCTGCGCAGCCGGCGTGGGCAGCAACGAGCATCACGCCAGTCCCCACTGGCCACGCGTGGGACGTCAACTGGGACAAGTAAGATCGTGTCGTTGGATCCTTCATGAATAGAACTGAGTTAGCCATTTTGTAGTGATCTTTGAATGTGTAGTGAGTATACGAAATGTGTCAAAAAAGTTGCAGTACTCGTGTTCAGTGTGCGAGAAAAGGGGGAGTTGTGGCATCTGGCTGCTTCGCAATGCACTGAGCATCCGACAGTTCTTGGTTTAGGGGTACTACTCGGGCTGGGCAAAGAAGTCAACCAGCGTTGTTGTGGCGACCACAAAAAATGTATGCCTCGAAACTATAATTAATAATTTTAAACATATCTGCTATGCCATGAACAATTTTGCTTGTTCGGCTTTATGCACAACACTTTTCCAGCAGCGGAAATATCAATTAATGTATTATGCGCATTGTTCCCAGAAAAACTGAATAATCAATAGAATAATGGATCGCAAAAAGATTAGTTTGTGACTGCCCTACTCCTTACTTACCTGACCATGATTTTGACCGCTATGCATCAGAAATGCTTTTACTTGAGAGGTGCAATAAATGCATTTCGGTATTTAATAAGTTCCCACACACAAAAGATTTGGAAAAGGGCTTCCCTTAAAATAGATCATTGCCAAGGTTTAGTGAAGTGACATTTTGCGACCACACATTGTGAAATTGTGGAATTTCATTCTCATTTATTCATTTTTTTGTACATGAAATTTTGATGTAGATCCTGTTTCTGAATAAGGTGTGCTCTGAAAGCCGCTTGAAACATGTATGCCTGTGTAAGTTAGAAAAAAATATGATGTACACTTGTTCTTTTTTTCAAAGGTTATGTTTGAATAACATCCTTCATTCTTAACTTCTATAAAAGTAGGTCGCGACTTGGCAGAAGCGGCAAATTGTGGGTGACAACAGTGAAGTCATCGGTTGAAGTAAACCTTATGAGACAAAGCCACTTGTGATGTAAGGTGACCGCTGTTTTGCAGGAGAGACCCTTCTACACTGTCCAATGGCAAGAAGAAAGGCAGTACGACCGAAGATCCCAGATCAGAGCAGGACAATGGCAAACCCAAAGCTACACGCAACATCCTCCTCATCCGACATTCGCAGTATAACCTCAGCGGGAGCAGCGACAAAGAGCACATTCTCACTCCCTTGGGTCAGCTTCATGTCATTTGTGAACAAAATGCATTCATGCCAAGGGGGAGAAAAAGTGATGATTCCAAGGGGCCGTGACTGACTGGGTTACTAGAAAATCCATTCATGCATTTTCGATAGTGCTTGTCCGCGTTAGGAAAGCGCGTGAGCTGGAGCCGCTCCAAGCTGCCTTTGGGCGAGAGGCAGCGTATACCCTTGAGTGGTCACCAGCTAATTGCAGGGCACGTCAAGACAACTATTCAGACTCACTTTTGCATTTGTGCACAATTTAGAATCTGCGTTGAACCTAATGTGTATGTTTTGGGAGAACATGCAAAGTCCACATAGGAAGGCTGCTGCCAAAATTACAATCCTGATCCTGAAAACTGGGAGGCCACTGTGTTGTCCACCCCATAAAATACAATGTCAATTTGAGATTATTGTTATTTTATTTTATTTTTTTGTAATAACAAGGCCCCAGATCCACGGCAGTATCCCTATCACTGGCCACAACAAGAACTAAACGTGCGCAACCTAGTGAGACCAAAATACAATTAGTGTTAAAAAAAATGAAAAAAATCGACAACAAATATGAATTCCATCAGATTTTCTTCATAACCGCAGCAGTTAAGACGAGACAATTGGGAGGGATTTAAGGCAGTGGTTCTCAACTGTTGTCATCTTGGGACCCGCGTCTTCCTCTTCTCCCGACCCATCTTCTTAAAGTTGAGAAAAATAAAGCTTTAACGGTTACTCTTCGTTTTATGCCTCAAGTCTACTTCTATGAAATTACAGCCGTAATGATGAGATGCCTACGGCTTTTCTTTCCCAGTGACGTTCCCTTGTGTCTCCTTAGGTCGAGAGCAGGCCGAGTTGACAGGTCATCGTCTGTCATCATTGGGATTGAAATACGATGTTCTGATCCACTCCAGCATGACTAGAGCCACAGAGACGGCGCACATCATCAGCAAGCACCTTCCAGGTAGCGGAGACGCGTCATGCAGCTTTCCGCACATGCTCATCAAGACCGCCTTGAGGGTTGTGTTTTGGCAAACGGGTTGTCTTTTCTTCTCGTCCGCCCGTTTCTCTTGAGTTTAGGCGTGGAGTTGCTCAGCTGCGACTTGCTTCAAGAGGGCGCCCCCATCGAGCCGGTTCCGCCCGTCACTCACTGGAAACCTGACGCTGTGGTGAGAGTGCTCCCCCCGCTCTTGAGTCTGTGGTAGCTTTGTGCGGCCTGTGTTTCTGTGCACGTCATGTCAAGTGCTTGTAAAGGCTCCAAGCCAAAGTAGGCCAAAGCATCAGTAGTCCTACACTGTAGTATGAACAGGGAGAGTACAGTTCCAAAATGGCGATGGTTAATACCCCCATGTTGTTCCTTAGGCCATTTTATTGAATCGGCAGCTAGTTTTAGAATTCAGTTGACTGGCTGATTTTGTGCTAATTTTACAACAAAGCTTTACTTGTTATCATGACATGCTTATCTGTATCGGCAGCGTGTTTGTCAGACACATTGTGACGTTCCTCGGTAATTTTATAATAAGACAAAAATCAACAAATGATAGAGCAGGACCATCAATGTTACATTGTTACTGGTGTCGCTGAAATAAAAGTTTGTGATAAATGTAATGCTGTATGACACAGAACTGCCAGACCAGACCCTCTTGGATGTTGTTACATTCAGTGGGGTCCTCAATTTACAACAGAGTTGTGTTCCACTGACGCCAGCGTTACTCAGTTTTTTTTTTTTTTTTTTATGCACGATGGAGCGGACAGCAGTCGAGAAAACCCATTCCTCTTAAAACAAAAGCTCTTCAAACATCCTTGACAACAGGCAGCACTTGGCTCTCATGTCCACCGACTGGCCGTGCAAAGAACACTTTTGCCACGCTGACCTCACAGCGGCTTTCATCTTTGCCGTTCTCCAGCAGTACCACGAAGACGGCGCGCGTATCGAGGCAGCCTTCCGCCGCTACATCCACCGGGCAGACCCAAAGCAGAAGGAGGACAGCTACGAGATCATCGTGTGTCATGCCAATGTCATCCGCTATTTTGTCTGCAGGTTTGTCTCATCTGCCCAGCTCATCTAATGTGACTGTGCAATTTGCTGAGGCGTGACCGCCTTGATGTACGAGTAATACAAGTACAATTATTCAGATTCACCAAACTTTATTTATCCCCGTGGGGCAATTAGAGTTGTGCGAGAGCAGCTTATTATAGAGACAGTCAGAGCAAAGGAAAAACATCGGATGAGAGTAGCTTAGCACTTGAGGTCTTGAGGTAGTGGCCCCAGCATCGAAATAGTATTGCCCATCGAGCAGTATTGCACAGTAAGGACACAGTAAAGACAGTATTGCACATGAAAACAGTATTGCACGTCAAAGTATTGCACTGTAAACCCGTATTGCACAATGGGGTGTGTGAGTCTGCATGGTGGGGGGGAGGGGTGTCAGGGATCTTGGAATAAGAGTTTAAGAGGAGAACAGCCTGGGGGACAAAGGTGGATCTCCTCCTCGCTGTCCTGCAAGCTGGGAACCGCAGCCTGCGGCCGGAAGGCAGCCATTCGAACGCGGGGAAGAGAGCATGTGAGGGCTCCTTCATGATCTGAGCAGCCAGACCACGAATCTGCTGCTCGCACACTGCAATTAGAATCTTTTCAGGTTATTCTGCCAAATAAGGGTTTTCAATGTAGGCACACACTCGTAAATACCTGATTGCCTTGACCTAGCGCTTTTTGTACTGAAGTTGCTGTCTTCCAGTGTCAGCCTACCAACTGTTAGCGTGTTAGCTTTTAAGATAATCTCCTTTAAACCTGAACACAGGGCAAGATATAAAGTCCGTCAATATGCCTTAGCACTTTCTCTACTCAGATTGCCATTTTGCTACAGTGTGTTACAAAGTGACGTTGTATGATGCCAGTGTTCTTTAAAGATGAAATAGGTTTGTGTTTCTTGGTTAAAGGTGTCATCCTCTGTTCTCAGGGCCCTGCAGTTCCCACCTGAGGGCTGGTTACGCATGGGTTTGCACAACGGCAGCATCACATGGCTCACCATTCGCCCAAGTGGCCGGGTGGCCCTCCGAACTCTCGGAGATGCAGGATTCATGCCCCCGGACAAACTTACACGAACCTGATGAGCCAACGCGGTGCACTTCAGGGATTGGAGTTGGGATGACGGGCTGCTTACAGTTTTAAAAAAAAGCTCAGTTTTCTCCTTAAGTGTCTTTCCTCTGATGTCCAAATGTTTGTTGTTAAACGGGCGCTGTTGTATGTTTTTGAGGTGGGTGGTAGTAACGCCAGCAGAATGTTATTCATGTTTTTTTATACAAGAGCAGTTCCACGCCAAAACATTTGCTGTGAGCATTGGAAACGAATAGGGTCATTTTATTGTCACTGTAAGCAGGGCAAACAATAGTTCACAGTGCAACCCTCTTGATGTTTAAAAAGACACAAGGAGCTAAATTTATAAGTATTCAATTTAAATGTATTTCGAAGCTCAAACACAACCGTACAATTTGTACAGTATACCAAAGTTTGAGCAGTCTTGTTTTGTAATGTTAGGTATGTCATACGAGCCGCCAAAGTGGACCTTGGTAGACAAGGCTGACGTGTTGTATACTTAATTGTACTGTTTCGAGGTGTTATGTTGGTGCACTTTTTTTTTTTCAATAAAGATGATGGGGGAAAAAAGCACTTAGGTAAAACCTGCTTCCAGTTCCTTGTTTTGTGGCACACTGCAGGAGAGCGCCTTTTGGCACCCCCAAAAACAACCAGCATAGTGACACAAACAAGTTGCACCGAACCTCTCACTAAGGTGATTGGTTGCTTGCTTGCTTCAAGTGCATGTTTAGGCTTTGCAAGAGACTGCAGAGGCTAATAAACACGTGGAAAACATTATTGACAATTGCTAACATGCACCGATATTAAAAAAAAAAAACCTAACCTACTTTAATCGTCTGTCCAATGGAATTTCAATTGAACCGAAAAAAGACCTCAACTAAGTACTATAAGAGACAGTATATGTAACTGTATACATACTTTTTGGACCCTAAGATCTTTGTGCAATAACCGCAAGATTTATGTGTGTTGTTTCAGCAGAATGTTAAGTCTATTGATTTAGATAAAGAACAGACTCCATTTTGATCATTTTATGCAAAATTCTAGGTTATTCTGATGGGGGTCAATTTTTTTTTTTTCTTGCAAGAGTAAACAGTCCGGGCTATTTACCAGCACTATCATAGCAGCTCACCTGCAACCCTAACAAGGACAAGTGCTAGAGAAAATAAATGGATGGATGAATAATGTGATACATTAAAACTACATCTCAGGAACACATTGAAACAGCAACAATCCTATTTAGTCAACAGAAAAGTAGTGGGCTGAGCACCACTCCACTGATGCGCATCATTAGTGCGTTTGTGTGCTGCAGTCATGATGAAGACAATGATGGAAGACATTAGTCACTGACCAATTTGTGACATATTGAAAGGATCGTTGAAGTAAAGTAGGAGTGATTTTTTATTGACTACTTGAAAGCAAACACATCCTTGACATACAGGAAGAGAGTTCAAAAAGCACAAGAAGCAGTTTTAAGTTTTTAGGGGCACTTTTGCAAAGCTCCACACATTCAGAAACATTCAAAGAGCAAAATATTTCCTCTTCCGACCTGAGAGCACAAGCATGATGACAATCTCCTCAGCAAAGTTGTTTGTGCTCTCTGAGAAAGGTTGAGTTCACCAAGAATTACATTCAGAACAAATCAAGTGTAAGTGGATTTTTTTTCATATCAAAACGGTCTTTTTTCCATCATTCAATATTTTTACACTTTCCTCCATTGTTTATATTGGATGGAAATATCTGCCATGTTTACGTATTATCCAGCGATTCCTATTCAAATCTAAAAAATAAAATGTCACAGTTACCAGATCTCAACTTGTCCTTAATAGTTTTCTTCTGCTCTATAATTGCAATAACACCTGACTCCTGTCTGTGCGTGTTAAGTCTGCCAGAATGGAAGCGGCTTGAGACTTAATCATGAGAATAGTCCAGAAAGGTTGCAAAAAGGAAAAGTCAAGACGTCCTGGATCCACTGAGTAAAGATAAAAACAAATCCATTTATTGAACAAAATAAAAGCATGGAAGATTCATTCTGTTTTCCTGGGTTTGCTGTAATGCTACAGCCAGTAAAGTTTTCCAGATGTGAGCTAGATAATGTGCCCAAACTGACAGAACAAATCCATCACTTCAGAAAATTAAGGCAAGTACTGAACTGAGGAAAATGCAGGAAATGGCAGTTGGTTAACATCTTTGATAATAAAAAAACATTTTTGTGCTACTGACCAACATACATGATTTGTTTTCTTTAGTGCTGACAACCCCACACTAAGAATGCTTTTTTGAGACCGACCTCGGGGAGTGTGGCTTGTATTCACAATATCCAAAAACATTGACCTGGGCTATGATACAGGTGCTGCACACTTGTCACAGATAACATCACCATCCAATTACACGGTCTGCATCGATAAAGTACAAACATCACTGAGGTTTCTTTTTTGAAAATTTTAAAATCCTTTTTTTAAAATATCGTGTGGGCTGCAGTTCAATAATGTAACTCTTCCACGCTATTCCAGTCTTTATGTTTGTTAGGAGAGGCTTAGGATGACGTGGCAGGGGAGTTTAGACCCTTCAAATTGACGCTTCGTTCAAGCGCTTGAGGCGAATGCGTTGGATGTAGCTCACGTTGGCGGGGCTGTAGCGGCTGGGGCTGAAATCAGGTGAGGCGGCCTGGCGAGCGGGACTGAAGCGACCCGAGGGAGACATGAGAACGCCGGAGGGAGAGCCGGGAGTCTGATGCTGCATCCTGAGTCGCGGTTTTACCACTGCAGGGCTCGGCCAACTGGACACATGAGTCAACAGTAAATATGAGTACAACATATTTCTTCTTTTTAGTATTCAGGCATAGTGTGGGCAAGTGCCACCCAGTATAATTTTGAAGTCATCACCACATGTGGACAGGCTAACAGAACGCATGAGTGCCATGAGTGGGTATAAAAGTAGCTTCCCTGAAAAGTCACTCACGCGCCAAGACTTTGTGAACAACTCTGCGAAAAAATAGTTGAACTGTAACCTGAAAGTTAGCAAAGCCCATCTTACTTCAGTAAAGCACGCACAAACCTTTTCATTTCTGAGGAAGAGTAGGACTTCATTGTGCTCATCCACTTGTGAATACTGGGATATTTTTGGACATCCACCTCAACACCCCCTATTGCTGACAACACATCTCTGTCCAACTTGGTAGGTGAATCCCTGTGAAAACATCAAACAATATGGCTGACCTCGTATATGTGCCTGTGGCGCCTCAATCTTCAGTAAACAAGACCAAAACGAAAGAGGGAAATACAGTGATACCATGACTTACGGATGCCCCCCGCCACTACCTCCTGCTTTCAGAAGCTCAAGGGGGTCACATAAGAGATTTCGCGTTTTGAAAATGTGGATAACATCAAGATGGCAGTAAAAAATCCCAGAAGAATCGAGGTAAGTCGATTTGTCATACAAGCGATTTGAGTTATAAGAGTGTTTATGGAATGATTTCAACTTGTAAGTCAAGGTACCACTGGATTGTCACTTTTACAAACGAAAGAATTGTAATCACGTCACACTTCAATGATCTTTGCAGAGAAAACAGTGATACAATATCATACATGAGCTTTCGGGATTGCTGTACCGATGTAGCTATAGAGAAGGCAAGGTCAAACAGTCGTTTGAGAAGTGTTCTTTAAAGGACTTTTTTTTTTTTTTAATCCATCACTCGAATACTCATACCTATCCATCCATCCACAAGAACTAATAAAAAATAAACTAAAAACAAGGCTGTTTCGAACAAAAAAATATTCAAAACTAAGAAACTTGCTCTTAAACTTTTGAAAAATAAATTTAAAAAAAAAAGTCTAAAGAAATAAAACTATAACGAAACATAAAATAACCCTGCTACTCACCCATCAATAAAGAGTCCTCTTCTACTGCGAGGTGGGGTCCTCGGGAGGAACTCATGGGAATTATCCAAAGACTTATAAGAGGATGCTGATGACCCCGAGCTGCTCAGGTCTCTCCCACCATGATCCCACGATTTGGACCTCGCGCACAAGTTGCGCGCCACCGAAGCCGCTCCCCTTGTCCTGCTCATCATTTCCAAAGCGTCCTCCTCTGCCTCGAACAACTCTTCAGAGACGCCGCTGCTGCGCTGTTCCTCCGTGTCCCCTCCCTTCAAGGCTTCGTTGTTCTGGGCGCCGTGGCCAATCGACAGCCGCTTCAGCCCGCAACTCAGGTCTGCGCTAACTGAGGAGCCGTAGGAGTCGAAGGTCTCTCTGTGTCGGTGCCCGCCACTGCTCCTTCTCTCCCTGTATCTGTCGGGACTGTCCGGCGGTTCTTGCAGCGACATGCGCTCAAATTCAACTGAGAGGTTGGAGACGGGTGAGAGCAAGCTGGAGGCGGACGGAGAGTTCCGAGGAGAAACGTTATCTCCGTTGGAAATGCCATCTCTTGAGGAGGAGCACACCCCATTTTTGCAGACGCCGCCGGGTGACAGCAGGTCCTGCTCGGCTGCGGTCTCGATCAGGTCGCCCCCCCGATACTTTAATCCCATCGGCATGATGTGGAAGTCGTGACCTCCCACTGCGCCCTTCAGGTTGTCCATGGATGCGGCGGAGGAGGAGATGCAGGTCAGTGCTGCATTCTGCCTATTCTTCATCTCCTCAAGGCTGATGTCCTCGCCCTCATCCAAGAAGGCACCGACAGAGATGGAGTTGCAGAACTTCTTCAGCTTGCCTGCAACCAGTGATGTCGGTTTAAAGACAGAATGTGCCAAAGTTCAGTGCTTGCTCTCTAGCGTTTTCATTACCTTCATTTTAACATGGTGAAGAAGTAAACAGAAGGATAGGTTCCAGGTGTTAGCAATGACATACATTTGGGTTCTATTCCATGGAGACAGAGAACTTCAAATTTCTCTTCAATTGGTTGGACAATTTAGTCCAGTATAATAACTACATATGGAACAACTACCGGTACTGAAAAATAGTGCTGTGCGAGATGGAAAACTATTCAGGATATAGACCATTTTTATCACGATGTACCACAGTATTCACAATATTTTCAATTCTATTTTTTTTTTTAAATACACTGGTCTACATCAAAAGTGAATAAATAAATAAAGTTGGTTAACATGCATGCTAGGCTAAATGAATGCTCTAAATTGTCCCTGAGTGTGATGGTGAGCATGAAAGGTGGTTTGTTTATGTGTGCCCGGTGATTGGTTGGCAACCAGTTCAGGGTTTGACCCTGCCCAAAAACAGCTGGAATATGCTCCAGCACGCCTGCGACCCTTGTGAGGGTAAGAACGGATGGATGGATGGATAATATGTAAATTATACCTGGGGAAGGAGTTTTAAATCTGTTGCTGGTCTCATTCTCCCCCTCTTCACAAGTTCGTGAAAAGAAATCCCTCTTACTCAGATACTCTTCCAACTTGTGAAGTGCCTTGGTTGATGACAGATCTACAAAGCTATCAAGAAAGTCCCAATATTCCGCCCAGGGATGACCCATCTCGTGAGCCAAATCTCTGTAAGAAGAATATAAATCAGAGATTGTTATTAGACATATGTGA